GCAGATACCCCAAGTATGGTTTAAACCAAGAAGATATGTAATGTTCCGCAGGTCAACATGCCCCTCAGTCTGAATACTGAACAGTCAAGTCAGGCTTTGTGTCTGTACAACATTTTATTAAAGGTCGTTACAGAGCAACATCCAGACTCCAGAATGCAGCTGCCAAGGAGACCCTGAAACCAAATAAACCACAAAATTAAGAAACTTTACCGGAGTTATTAAGCCTTCATTTACCAAATGGATACATACTCCCACTTAGCAACACTAACAAAAAATACATACATAAGGGTTTGTCCTTTTTCACATAAAAAAATTACAGGGCTCCTAGAGACACAAAATATAAAACATCTAGAAACAAAAAAACCCCCAAATGTTGACCATAGGAGGCTTGTTTTACACGGGCTGCTAAAGGACAAAATAGCCAATTACTAGCAAATGTATCTAGAAAATCTTGAGCAACCAGGCACGGTGGATCACCTGAGGTCAGGAGTTTGAGACCAGCCTGGCCAACATGGTGAAACCCTGCATCTATTAAAAACACAAAAATTAGCCAGGTGCGGTGGCAGGTGCCTGTAATACCAGCGACTTGGGAGGCTGACACGAGAATTGCTTGAATCCGAGAAGCAGAAGTTGCCACTGCACTCCAGCTTGGGCGACAGGCAAGACTGTCTCAAAAAAATAAAGTATTTGAGCAAATAAGGGAAAACTATTTCATACACAGGAGTAAAAGCAGGAACTTCTTTCTGAAATAAAGGCAAACACCTGTCCCAATGGAACTGAGGGTTAAAGAGACCCCAGGTTTCAACTTGTATTCTCCCATATCACCAAATGCTCACCAGAGTGTGGGCTACAAGTATTAACAGAAAGACTAGGAAGGACCCTATTCTGCCCCGAGTCCCCTGCCCCTGCAGGCATACCTGTTACGCTGTGGGGACTGGCTGGGGCATGGCAGGCGGCTCTGGCTTCCCACCCTTCTGTTCTGAGATGGGGGTGGTAGGCAGTATCTCATCTTTGGGTTCCACGATGCTCACATGGTCAGGCAGGGGCTTCTTAGGGCCAATCTTACCAGTTGGATCCCAGGGCAGCATGATCTTCACCTTGATGCCCAGCACACCTAGAAGACACCACAGTTGTTAGCACACAGCTGGGGTGTCACTGGCCCCCACCACACAAGACCAAAGAGAGCAAGCAGTTTCTTCAAACAACCCTGGGTCTGGTCCCTTCTCAGACAAATGCCTCTAAATCAATCAATGAATAGGACACTTCTGCAAAAGGAACCTGTGAACAGCACCACAAAACATGGCACTGACAAGGACCAAGAGCAGGACATGACCTTTCTGATTCGTCATCGTGTCATCACTGAAGGGTACACAGATGGCTAAAACAAGGACAAACCAACTCTTGGATCTAAAGGTATCAGCAATTCAATACTTACAGATAAATGTGGCAATCAATATGCCAAGGAGTATGACCATGCCCAGCCACTTCCATGATAAACTCCCCAAATACTTAGATGTCTGTGGAAAACCAAATGTGTCCAAATGCCCTTTGCCAAGCACTCTCAGCTGCTTACCCTGTCTGAGCAACACATGGCGCACAGCAGTGTCAACGTAGTAGTTAACAGGGTCTCCGCTGTGGATCATCAGGCCATCCACAAACTTCATGGATTTAGCCCTCTGTCCTCGGAGTTTCCCAGACACCACAACCTCGCAGCCTTTGGCCCCGCTCTCCATGATGAACCGCAGCACACCATAGCAGGCCCTTCAGAAGAACAGGAGAGGTCCATTTGTGTTATTGTCAAGGACAGAATTTATTTAACAACCCCCACCAGGTTTAAAAAACAGAAGAAAAATTAGTTTTCAATGTTCCTTTAATGGAGAATAAATCTGACCAGAATCTGGCCCCAAAAATAGTAACTCTCTTTCAGGCTTATCATACCTAATCTTAGGGTAATATTCATCAAGTACGTCAAGCTCCTAACCAAGTACTTTCCAACCCTGGCTGCCTATCAGAATCACCTCGGAAAGCTAAAATAAACGAAACCCTGATGTCTAGGCCCTATTCTAAGCCAATTAAATGGGCAAAGTCCAGGCTTATGTATTTAAAAATGCTCCCTGGGTGATTCTCACATATAACCAAAATTGAGAACCACATTTTTACAAGTACCCACTTGTTGTCCCATGAAATATTCTGCAACCTCCAGAAGTCTCATTCACTAGGAAAGCGAACACACACAGGATCCTGGTACCTTGCTATTAGAATGCTGATAAAACATTTTAAAATATGCCCTACCTGCAACTCATTCGGTAGTTTACACTCTGCAAGATACTAACTGGAGAGCTAGCCACCTCCAGGCCCTTTCACATTATCTTACTTACTATTCCACAACTGAGAGGTGATATAATGGTCCCCCTTAGAAAACAGAGGAGATCCTAGGCTCAGAAGTTCATTAACTTGGTTCAATGTGTGCAAAGCCCATGTTGGGGAGAGTTAAGACAGACTGCTGAGTCACACATCCAGTTTCCCATTTGGTGGGTCTGGGATTGACACAAATCTTCTGAGAACCACTGTTCTAGGCAACAAAACTGGCACTCAAACCAGGTAAGCAGTCTTTTCTAGGTCCTTACCTGGAGCCTGGCCTATACCACCCATCCCTACCAGTTAACCTTCCTACAGCACAGCTTTCCTCTAGGCCAGGCATTCCAATGCCTTTACATACAAACTGCACAAAGAACTTCCAGTTGAAATCTTACCAGCGGACCCTCACATTACTACCTGCATGCAACTCAGAGGTTTTAAGTGTCTAGATTTTAAACTCTCTCCCGGCAGGTCTTATCTCTTCACAGTACCATTTTAAGAGTGAACACACTAAGTAGATTTGAATGACCCCTACTAGCTTGTTCTAAGTTTCATGGTATCCCACAAGTACTAAGGCACTTCCACCTAGGGATACATAACACATACCCAGTAACAGGCCTAAATTATTCCCCATTGCCCACCACCCACCACATGACTCTTTGTAAGGCATCCTTGAGAAAACCAACAGGAGTTGGTCCCCTCCTTGGACAGTCCTATTTGTGTTTAACTCCCAAAGCACCCATAACACTTCTCCATTACAACACTGAATATACCCTTTATGGTTCTTGCTGCTTTAGCAGTCTTGTTAGTCTGCTAGTTCAGTGAAGGCATGACTTAGTACCTTATTATAATCCTGGGAGATTAGCAGATCCTGTCACTTTGTAACAGTTCATCTGCTTAATTAACAAATGGCAGACATGTATATTGACACACACAAAAGGTCAGGACCATAGGTCTCAGGATACTTACCTGCGCACAGCAAGCCCTCCCAGCAGTTTGTAACGCAGAGACTCTGCCTGAGCAATTGCGCACAGACCTCTAGTGGCCACCTTTTCAGCATAAAGCTTTAAAGGAAGCAAGGGAAATTGTGTTACCAGTCACCACTGTTTTCAACTGGAAGTTGAAAATTTGACATTTGTCATACAAGCATCACTTTCTACACCAAGCTTGTCCAACCCACAGGCCCCATGCAGCCCAGGACAGCTTTGAATGTGACCCAACACAAATTCAACATCATGATTTTTTGTGTGCTATTAGTATGGCCCAAGACAATTCTTCCAATGTGGCCTAGGGACGCCAAAAGATTGGACACCACCATCACATACAGCATACAATTTCAGTATTCCTCAATTCCTAAAGCACTTCTACCACCTACACACAGTGCAGGTTCCTTGTCCTCCCACCCTGGCTCCTTTAGCCACACCAAGGACACCAATGCGGATAGTCAATCCATCATACACCCAAGTTGAATGTAAAATCCTTTAACCACCATCCGTTAGCAGAATAGGCTTACAAAGTTAAGCCCATTATTCATTAAGAGAATTTCAACAAAATTATACCAGTCCATTTGTAATGAACAAATAATTAAAGTTTCCAAATTGAAAGTTTTTAGAAGTATTATTCTGAAGAGCCATCATCTCTGGCATGCCAGAATCACTCACCTCTACACTGCCCTCTGGAAAGCCAAACCTCTTCTGAACTACAGCAGTCAGCTCCCGAATCCGCCGGCCCTTCTCACCAAGAACATTCTGTGTTCTGGGGGGAAAAGGTGACAATTCATGACTCTTTTTTTTTTTTTTTTTGAGACGGAGTTTCGCTCTTGTTACCCAGGCTGGAGTGCAATGGCACGATCTCGGCTCACCGCAACCTCCGCCTCCTGGGTTCAGGCAATTCCCCGGCTTCAGCCTCCTGAGTAGCTGGGATTACAGGCATGCGCCACCATGCCCAGCTGATTTTTTGTAGTTTTAGTAGAGACGGGGTTTCACCATGTTGACCAGGATGGTCTCGATCTCTTGACCTCGTGATCCACCCTCCTCCGCCTCCCAAAGTGCTAGGATTACAGGCTTGAGCCACCGCGCCCGGCCTAATTCATGACTCTTACAATGCTGGATGTAACTTTAAATCTTGCATATATGTGTGGTAGCAAAAATCTCTGCCACAAAGCATAAAATTTTTAACAAAAACAAAAGTTAAACTTTAAAAATGCAGTTGCAATCCTATGCCTGGCCTTAAAATGCAGCTTTTAAGCAGTTATATTCACTAAGCCCAGATTCATTGGTTGTTTGTACCTTAAGTTCACAGAGAATAAACCAACTTAGCATTTACAATAGATGATGGGCAGTCAAGTGAGTTTTACCTGGTGGCTAAGATAATGATTTCTGTCCTGGTTGGTGTAACTCGCACCTCAACTCCAGAGTAGCCATCTTCAGCCAGCTCCCGAGTAAGAAACTCATTCAGTTCAGCTTTGAAGATGCCATCAGCGACAAACTAACCCAAAAAAAGCAAAGTTCAAAATTAGGACATCGGTGTAGGTTCACTGTCATCTGAGCCAGTCTAGTCTTACTAGTCAATGCGTTCCTCACCAAAACTAAATACCTCCAACCAAGGATTCCAAACCCTTGTTCCAACAGGAGTGCAGCAACCCTTCTCAGACAAATGCCTCTAGGTCATCTTTAGGAAGTTACTTCAGCCAGGGCCCTTTAAACCGTGCCACAGAACGCAGCACAGAGTAGGCCACCTGGGCAAAGAGAACACCCCAAGTCAGACTCGTCATCATCTCTTCATCGAAGGGTTTAAAACTGGTCCACATGCAAAACAAGAAACTGCTCTAAAATGGCCCATTTACACTTCACTCAGCACAGCAAAGACACCGTACTTGTCACCGTGAAGGAACAGATAGTGAACTTAACATAGAAGCCGTCTCACTTGTAGACACAACCTGGACCGTCTAAAGAATCCCAGCCATGTTATCTGGCCTTACAATACCTGTTGATTTAACTGTAAACAGAGCTGGCAAATCCTAACTCAGCGTCGTGGACTTAATTTTAACATCGATGTTTTCATATACAAAATGACAAACCATCTATTTTTAAAGCTAATGATTTTTACAGTTTTTTCTCGTGGAATGATAAGACGTTAAATCAGAGGCAGCTTCCTCCCGGGGTCCTCAGACGGAACAAGCAACCGTCAGTAACTCTTCAGTTAAGGTTTTGGGGCCAGCAGATTGCACCCAAACACGACCAGTAAGAAGGTAAGAAACTTTCCCCTTCCCAAAACCACCGGGTAACACATGAGGGAAATGACACACGCCCTCATGTGTTTACTAATTCTGTGGACCAAAAAATGCTCACAAACACCTTCTCCGGGACAGAAGAGGCGCCTGGCACCCATCTCTCTGAGCTTTACTCGGAATCAGAAAAAAATGGGTCTCTCCCTTCCCGGGCCTCAGTGTTCGCCTGGCTCGGGCCTCTCATCACTCAATCCACCTCGATCCGCGGCCCGCGGGAACCCCAGGCAGCCTAAACTGCTTCCTAGGGCAGGGCACAGAGCCGCAGGCCTCGCGGTGGCACCTCGGGAAGCCCTTGACCCGCGTGGCGCCGTCATTTCCCAAGCACAGGCCCCAGAGACTCACCTTCCTCTTCTTGGAAATTTGCACGGCCATCTTGCCGCCGCGCTCCGCCGAAAGGAAAGGAAGTGGCTCGCGGGCGGAAATGGGTATAAAGGGCGTGCGCGACGACCAAAGGCTGCGCTACGTGAACGCCTGTGGATGTTCATGGGAAATGTAGTGTTTACGTAGAAAGCGTCTGGGGAAAGAAGAGTGTTGGTATCTCCTGCAGGCAGGAACGAGAAAGGGGGTTCATCCAGCAGGACTTCTAAACTGCAGGGGAACTTAGAGTTCAAATTCTCTTAGCTTAAAAACAAGCAATATGAGTTGCAGAGGTGGAAATTACAGGTATAAGTTCACACAACAACAGAATTTAACCAGCGTGAAACTCTGGCCCCGATGAGTCGACACTGTAATGAAAATCTGCTGAAAGCCCTCAGTGAAACTCATTTAAGACTCCTCTTTGGGAGGCCAAGGCGGGCGGATCACTTGAAGTCAGGAGTTCGAGACTAGCCTGGCGAACATGGTGAAACCCCGTCTCTACTAAAAATACAAAAATTAGTGTGGTGCCGAGCGCCTGTAATCCCAGCTACTCGGGAGACTGAGGCAGGAGAATTGCCTG